GAAAAGCAAGCTGCATAAAACATGAAAACAAAACCAAAAAAAAGGCTTCAGACACACAGAAACAAATGACAAAAGAACAAATGACCAACAGGAGTCACCTCTTATCAGTCATTACAGTGAATCAATTAGGGGACCAGACGCAGGAGACAGACTAAAGGTTCCCACTGAAGGGCAGTGGCAGAACGGACTTAAAACAACCAACCAACCAATCACATCTAACCACCTGTTGTTTATAGGAGAAATGCTGTAAACTCAAGGACACAAATGGGTTAAAAATGAAAGGTTGGGATAAAAATATTCTATGCAAATAATAACCAAAAAGAGGTGTTAAAATCAAGATCTAACAATCCTAATATAGCTGTGCTAGTATCAGGGCACCTGAATATATAAACTGAATACTGACAACATTTAAGGGAGATATAGTATAATAATAGTTGGAGAAAAAATAATTAATAATTTATTTTTAAAATAGCTGGAGGCTTCAATACTCATGTTTAGAAAGAAAATCAAGAAGGTCAGAGAGGATCGAAATGACCCTGTAAGACCCAACAGACACAGGAGAGGGCTTCAAAACTCCGTTATCTCTCCAGTCCATTTCCCCGTTACATGCAGGCCCTGTGTAGAGAACACACAGAGTGATACACGCTCTAGTCCGCAGGTCGCACAGCACGCCTTGGGAAATGTTAAGAGGTTGAAATCATACGGAGTATTTTATCTGTCCACAATGCAGGCGGAGCTAGACATCAGTGACAGAGAAAGCCTGGGAACCACACCCCGTGGGCATGAAACAAGAAATCTGTCAGAGAAGAAATCACAAATCTCCTAGAGGCAAGCGAACGGGAAAGCACAATAAACCAAAGCTTAGGAGATTCCGTCAGGGCAGTTCTCAGGAGGAAACCTACAAATTTAAAATATATACATAATTATAAAATTGCAATGTTTGGGAAAGATTATTAGACACTGTTAAATCTCTCAAAATGGGTTCTTTGATAATTGGTGCAAATAGTTTTGCTGCCACTAGGTTCATTTATTTATCCCTGTTTTAGTTCTACCTTTTAATTGTGGGGGACCTTATAAAATTACAGCAGCAAAGGTCTACATTAAAAAAAAAGGTTTAGGAAAAAAGATCTAGAACCAGGAGAATGGAAGTAACAAAGATTAGAACAGAAGCCAATAAAAATTGTGAACAGGAAATGGAATCAATAAAACCAGAAGTTGGATCTTTGAAAAAACCGACAGAAGCAACAAAATTGTATCTAGTTCACAAGGGAAAGATGCAAATAACCAAAAAGAAAAGGGGACATTATAGGTGATAAGGAGAATTATCACAGAATGTATGGCAACAGACTGGATACCCTTAATGAAGTAGCACACAACCTATCAACCTGTCTCACAAAGAAAAAGCAAGCGTCCACACACCTGTACCACGTGAACAGACCAGTCAGTGATCAAGAGCCTCCCACCCCAAATGTCCTGGACCGATGGCTTCCAGGGGGATTATACAAAACATTTTCAAATGAACACCAAGATCATTTAAATTATGCTAAAGGAGAAAGAGGGAATATTCCCTAATTCATTTTATAAAGCAAACAACACCTTGATAACAGTATTAATTTAAAAGGCACTGAATGAATAGTTTAAAATCCCATGTTTAAACCTAATGTGGCAATTGTGGAGAGCAGTCACCCCACAAACAACTGTTTGGAGTCTTCGATCACTTGGAAGAGTGTAAAGACTGACATCAGGTGCAAGTCACTGCATTTATCCCACGAGGCAACACGAAACAGGGTGCACATTAGGCAACTTGACGAGTGATAGCAGTCTCAATCTTTTCAAAGGTCTCACAGTTGAATTTGGTTCTGTTTCTCCTCCCTTTTGGTCCATTTATTTGAAAATAAATTATCCTTCCTGATGTAGGACAGAGGTCATTCATTCTTAACCTCTACTTGCACATGTCAACTATGGGACAGGATATAGAAAGTGTTTTGAAGGGGAGTAGTCTTAATTAATTTAGCATTCAACAGATATTTAATGAGTATCCACATAGCAAAACTAGTGTGTTATACGATCAGAAAACAGAAATCCAGTTTAGCCTTTGCCTAAATGCTTATCTTTCCCCCGCTGCTGTGGAAAATATACAGCTGTCTAAGAGCAATCCCGAAAGCTTAATAAAAAGTATAAATGAGTTATCGTCGAGCTCTCGTAGATGCTGTTCCCAATTGCTGGCTCATTCTGGACGCAAGGGACAAATCTGCTTGGCAATTTCTGCCACAATCAAAAGGTGAAAATAAAACTAAGAAAAATGAACCGAGTGGCAGAAAGAATATTTATTTGCCCCTATTACCAAACAGAGCATCTGTTGAGAGAGTGCACACTGGCTGAACAGTCTTTCGCGAAAAAAGCAGCACCTCATAAATCTTGAGAGAGAGACCCTTTCTACACCAGGGTCACGCAGAAACCCTGACCAGGCAGGAGTCAGGCTGGAGGTGCACGCTTACATTGTTGACTCTAATTCTCATCAAAGCTCTTCACGTACCACTTCGTGAATGGATCTATTGAAGCCATCATCTTCCGTCAGAATCAACAGTATTATAAGCGCCATATAGACATGGTGTGAATTTCTTTCTTCAACATGATAGAGAATCTCAAGAATTGGCAAAACCTAGGGAATTAAAATGATTATATAATTTTTCAATTACTTTTAAAATCACATAAACTGTTTTAAGCATTTATACTTTTACTTTGTACCCTTTGCCTTCCTATCACAGCTTTATCTTCCTGGGGAGAGAAAGAAATACTACCATATGGATCGCTAAGCTAATACAAAACATCCCTGGCTCTGTGAAGGTCTGCAAGCTTGAGAAGGTTTCACAGAAATAGCTTAGCTCGTGGTTTATTTGAAATTTTTGAGTCACAACACCTACCCAACCCAGCCAAAAATAAGCAGATAACAGCTCCAACATGGGATTAACTGTTTTAATCTACGTGATTAGCACCACTTACGTCTTAGAGATACTGAGAAACATCTCTGTGGCTGTCAGGTACAGAAGGACAGCCAGAGTGCTTCTGAGAAGCAAGGCTGGCCAGACTTTGTCTCGCGCACTTTGGTTGTGTTACCAGGCGAGACCAGCCCCGGGAAAGGGCAGCAGCGTTGTCGAAAGGAGAAGGGCAGCGAAACGGAGGGAGGCCCTGGACGGGCGGGCTGCCGCAGTGGCTGCACTTCTGCAGCTGGCCCCGGATTTGGCAGTGTTCTGCGCCGCTGTGCATGTGGCCACTGAGCGGGGTCCTACGCGATGGCACCCCTCAGCATCTGTCCAGCATTTCACTTTACAACCCAACCGACATTCACAACAAGTTATTCGACACTGTGTCATTTCTTTTAAAATGGAGGTAAGTCGATTACTACCAGAAGTAACAATTAAATATGCACATACTAGTTTACATATCATATTTTATATGAAATACTAGAAACACAGGCTTAAGCCTTTCGACTATACTGCACACAAACGACCATTCCTGAGATGCTCAGTTTTAACTGGAGTTTTAGAATAAATTAGAACGACTCAAAATGTTGGTCATTCAAGGGTCAGAGGTCGTCATCCTACTGAAATCCACTGTCTAGCTCCATGCACGGGATTATCGCTGATAATTATTACTAAGGTCAGGAAAGGTTTAAAACTCTTCGGTGTGTATTTTTATCGATTGATATAGTGTTAAAATTGCAGAAAGATTAAACTCAGAATGAGCATTATGAGTCAGTACTTAGGAGTTGGTGTGCTTTGGTGTTAGTAACAGGAGATAATATGTATGAAGGGCATACAAATGATGCTGGAAACAGCAACTGCTACTTTTCATCAAGCAACTACACATGAAAGGCTTATTTACACAAGGGAGCAGGATTTCTGCACTTCACTGGTACAATAATGACACCAGTACATTGTGATAAGATATACAGAGATAGTTAGATAGAGAGACAGATCTATGCAGTGATCGGTGGGGGAAAGACGGGGCCTTCTACTCCCATGAAGAGCCACAGTGTCGGAAATCGACAGGAGCAGTGCTCCTCTGTCTGATTACGATCATTCTGAGTCAGTATCGACCCACTACAGTGAGGTTTTTTTGGTTTGTTTTTGTTTTGTGATCTGTATAGTCATTAGATAGACATGCAGATACCCGAGAGCAATCACTTCTCACTGACGAATGCCATCATCCTATATACCAACAGCTTTCCCCTGGAATCTTCTAGAACAAGTGACAGATATGACAGGATTTCTATTAATTGCCACCATTTCTCTTAGGATAAACTATGTTCAGAGCAGTCTCTGTCCGTCTGCTCCACCATCAACAAATAATGCTTCACTTTACAAGTTTCCATTTACAAGAGCACTACACTTTTACACTCAATTTGGCAATTTCAGACACTGTTTTCCACACATGGCTAGTACAGAGATCAGTTCTTTCACCACACATTCAATTCTTAGTGTCATTTTGACATTGAATCTGCTTAGGCATTTTAACATGCCACTGTGTGTATTTATCATCCCCACTGAAAAAGTGGCTACCAAGGGCCCACTGAATGATGCTACAAGTCTGCAAAAGCCGGCACACAGGCAAAACTGCAGCTGCTACTATTTCTAAAATTAAATAAATAGATAGGTAAATGCATTAAGAATCTCTGCTTATGTACGAGGAGCTTCAAAAAAGTTGTGGAAAATTCCATTATCTTTTAATTCCATTTCTTCCATGAACTTTTTAAAAGTCCCTTTGTATATATCATGCATTTCACACATATTATTAGCAGCCTGGGGAAGTAGCTTACTTTTCTCCACTCACAGGAATATTGGTGCTTATACACTAGTCTTAATAAAAACTCAGCGATTGTTCACAGGGAGAGTCCTGAAGCCGATTTCATTTACCAAGTGGAGGGTAGGATACATGGCGCTCAACGATTCCAGACTGAGTTCAGACAGCTCTGACGTCTAAGGATCTCAGAGAAAGAGGGGACACTGTAGAAACCCAGCTTAAATAGCACTCTTCACCTCACGCACTCTCACCAGGAAGATGCTTCAACTGTGAGTGAGGGGCTTCTTGAGCGCGGGGGCGGGGGCAAGGGACCTGGTCGATGAATGGAACTAGAAGAGCAGGAGAGTATCTTGGCGGCTGGCTGGACCCAGCAGACCGCGGGCTGGAGAAAGCCTGAGGAACGAGGAGGGAGGGCTGGCACACCAGTGAGAGGCGCAGCGGGGTCCTCCTGTTCCTGAGGCCACCCCGCCCCCCTCCCCCGCCCGCCCCCAATAGGAGGCATCTCCTCTGGTGAAAAAACGTACACCCGACACTTCCGTCTGTGTCTGCTAGCATCGCCCCACCAAGCTCTGGACGACCACCTTGACGGCAACCGGGCACATGCACTCGTCCCTTCGGGGAATGAAATCAACCTCCCAAACAGGAGTCAACACAAATGCACCAAACGATACTTACAAGATTTTCCATATCTGTGCGAGCCAACATGTACGTTCTAATATTACTGTTCTGATGGAGTAATGTATACAAGAGGAGAGTGGCCTGATCAGACGTCTGCTGTTCACACAGAGCTGTGTACAAGCTGTTGAAGTTAATCTGGAAAGCATGCGGAATTGATGAGGGGAATGGACTGCTATCTGGAATAGAGGAAAACAAAAAATATTACACTCACACTTTCCAGACAATGTCATATGTAATTAATGAAAGCACTTTTAAAATACTGTTACCTGAATTCCCAGTATTTGCATATTTCACTACATTTCAGATTTAAAACTCTGATTTATATTTAACTTTTTATTTTAAAGCAAATTCAGTGACATGGCATAGTTTGACCTTGCTGGTATTTGTGCACTCATATATCGGAGTTCACTCTATTAAAATATGAATTTAAAAGAAAGAGAGCGATGGGGCTGGGTCCCAAGCTCTCTAAAGATACAACCTAAAGCAGGTCACTGAGACATTTTGTAACTAACCCTAAAGGTCTATCCTTCCTAAGTAAAAGGACCCAGGGACAAAGAATAAAAATTTCTATACAAAAGAGAAAATTCCCTTGTAAACTAGGGTTAAGGAAAAAATTGCCTCAAAGCAAAGTTAACTGTTTACAAAAGAATAATCATGGTTATTCCACTATCGCTTCCTCCACTATTGGTAATTCCTCCACTATCGGTAATTCAATAAATGAAAGAAAAAGGCTAGAATAACATAATTTAGCTAGCTTTAACATAAAATCAGAGCCAGCCATGTTCAATATTTGCTTCTCAAAGGATATGCCCAAGTGAAGACAACTAAAGAAGACTTCAGTAACGTTTTTATTTAAAGGAGTAAAGACGACTAAGAAATACGTATGCGTTTATTATAGATAGCTATATAATGGAAACCACAGAAAGCACACATTACAGTCCGTGTTGGTCCTTCCCGACAGGTAACTAGATTTGCTTCAGAACTGAAGCAGGCAGCTGAGGAGGCGAGAGAAGCGAAAGTTACAGAAAGTTACAATCCTGTCACAGGAAACCCTGGACCCCGGCACCACAAAGAGCTTTGGTTTTCATGTGTTTTGAAAAGTAAGCACCAAGAATTCTGAGACGCAGAGCCACTACAAAGAACAGAAACCATGTTAACACTCCCAACAGCTGTGCTCCCGGGGAAAGGAGCCCACGCCAAGGCAAACACGCTTGCGAGCACGGCCTTAGGCCCTCGGCATTCTCCCCTCCAACCTCCGCACTGGTGAAAGGAACACAGCTGGAAGTGTCCAAGAACGGGTCTCCACGCACAACACAGTGCCACGCTGGCCTTCCACGTCTGGTTGCTTTTTCGATCCTCACATTGTGCTTCAGACACTGAAAAAAGCAATTCTTTTGTGTGACCAACAGCCTCTTTTTGTAGAAGGTGGTAAGAGGAAGTTGCCTGGCTGGCCTGTGGGTGCTCAGCTATTGTAGAATCTAGAGAAGACTCATTAGAGAACTATTCTGTGCACATTATGAATATATTTATATATAAAACACAATTTTATTGGCACTGAATCCACAAATCACACAGTTCAACAGCTCAATCATATCCATTAGAATTGCACAATCATTACCGCAACGAATTTCAGAACATCTTCTTTTTATCCCCCACGATCAAATCATCTTTAAAATGAGTTGTGCAATCGCCTTCCGTTCCAGTGCTCACTCTCCCACTTTCGATGTCTACTCCCGAAAACATATTTTTGTACAATGGAAGCCAAGTGACCCATTCACCAGCCTGTATTAGCGCCGACTCCAAGTGAAATCTGTGTGTGTTCCTTGGCATGACTAGTACGTAAGTGTCCTACTGACCGCTGTTTGTGTGTGCCATCCTTTATTGCCCGGGCCACACCCAGGGCAGCCCAAGCAGTTCTACAAAGGATGAAACAGAGGCTTGGGTACCAAGTAACTTCCCAAGACCAGTCCTGAGTGGAACCCAGGCTGATCTCGCTTGTTGCCACAGATGCTGTGCTGCTTCCTCTCAGAGGAGCATGACTTTATTAGTTTCTTCTGTCCTAAGTGCTCACTTAGTTCTCATGTAGAACGTTCTGGAACGGAGTTTATAAAACCCTGCCTTACAGATAAGGAAACAGGGCCCTAAAGAACAAAAGAGGGAATATGAACCCAGGTCAGGCAGACTCTAAAGCCAATGTTCTGGATCACTGCCAGAAGATGCCTACTCCAAGCAAGGCAAGTACCAGCATTAGGGCTGAGCAGCAAAAGCAATAACCAAAAACAGGAACGAAACCAAACCGTGCCTCAGTGGGTTTCTCAGACAGCCACTCTTTACAGAAGAAGAAAGCTGCATCTTTCGCCCACAGGGGGACTGGTGGTTTCAAACTGCTGACCTTGCGGTTAGCAGCGCAACAGGTAACCACTATGCCACCAGGGCTCCTAAAAGTAACGACAACAGCTGTAATATTCTTCAGCCACCCACCATGCTGCAAAACCTAAGCCAATCATTTTCAAACCGTACCTCATGTGGTATCTACAAAAATACTATTGGGAGATACTATCTCTATTGTATAGAAAACGTCATGGAAGCACATTGAGTTAAGCAATTGTTCAAGGTCTAACAGCTCCCAAGTGATGGAGCTGTGCTGTGAAGCTGTCTGACGCCAACTCGTTCTTCATCACGAACGAGTACTCTCAACAGAACGAAGGACTCAGGTAGTGCCTGGGTATGAACATCCAGCTTAAGTCCAACATGCAGCTTTGAACCAACCCTGCGAAGCCGATGATAGCAAGCATTCAGGGCATTATAGAGATGCACTGGTTCGCAATGATGAACACGTGTGACTGGGATTCACATCAAACATTGTCATTACTGCTGCTGCTGCTGCTGCCATAGAGGCAGGCAGTCCCCCGGGCTAGGAACTCACACTTACAGACCAATCCCAATCACCTTTAAACTAGTTCTGCATGGCTGACAGACCTGAGGTTTTACACTCTGACAGATTCAGCACAGGAAATTCGTGGGTTCAAGCTCTGAAATGGGAGCCTCAGAAAGGGAACCTGGTGTGTGAGCGTGCTTGCTGGCAGGAAGGCAGGCGAGGGACACCCATCCACAGTCATCTCTGGATGGGGCAGCACTGCTTTGGACTGTGCTCAGAATTCCAGGGTAAGAGATTTGGTTGCAATTTGGTGTATGTGCTGCCTTCCCTCTGTAGGAGGAAGATTAGATTACTGGAAAGGCTTTTACCAATCATTTTCCCTTTTCCGGCTCATCTTAACTTTAAAATTCAGGTCTGTTCCAACAGACCTCCCTAAGCCATGACTGATTCTCAAAGCTCTGAAAATCTTAAAGACGCAGTTAGGTCAAGTAGAACAAAAATGTTTTAGAAATGTTGATGGCAACATATGTACAAATGTGCTTGATACAATTGATGTATGGATTGTTATAAGAGCTGAAAGAGCCCCCAAGAAAATGATTTACTAAACTTAAATTTAAAAAACCACAGAAACAGATCTTTTTGAACCCAGGACTGCCTGAATTATTCTGTTTAAAACATTTTAGTGCTCCTGAAGTGTTCTTTGATGCATAGACAGGTACACATACTAAGATAAACATTTGACTGATGTTGGATATAAACGGTTCCTAGCTATTCTGATTTACATACAAGCCTGACTTACAGACAGACTTGGAAACAGGACTCATTCATAATCCAAGACTGACCACAAAGTCATATGAATAGAAAACCCCTGCCAGAAAAAAGAGCTTTCTTTTTTTTTTTTTTTAGGCACCAAATTTTTTATTATTAGCCCACCTTCCTGCCCTCTTTTAACACATTGTAAACAAAATTAACAAAATTAACCTT